TATTTTGATTATGTATAGGGACCTTTTTGGTTAATGGTACGTCTACTCACGTTTTGTTCGATTCGGGAGCTACCCGATCGTCTGTGTCTCTTGCGCTTAGCCGTGGACCCATTGCATGCTGTTATTATACATGTGATATTTGTTTATGTGTTGGTACTTTTTTTTTGGGGGGGGGGGGGGACTCACTAACCTTTGGGTTTTTAATTTTGGGTTATGTTTTTGGTACTTCAGACGATCACGGGAAGGCGAAGACGTGATTGTACACTTCCTCATGTTTTGACTTATGATTCTGGGAAACTATGACATGGAACGTGTTTTGAAAACTATGTTGTAAACAATTTATGATTCTGAGTTGTTTTTAAAAGTTTAAAATTTTCATGGTTTTTATAGATGTTATACCTAATAATGTCTATGTGAACTTAAAACAATTACATGTGAGTTTCATTTAAGCCCATGACACCATCGACCATTTTAACTCACTCATCAAGTGTTGCACTCACCCCACATGCTTATTGAATTATTTCAATTAAATTGAGAAACTTTTGTATATATATATTCATACATTGTAATCACGAGTATTTTCATATTATAAAATGCTAACTTTCTATGTGCATTGACTTCTAAATGCAATAATGAGATCCCTAATTATGACAGTTGTTTTTTACATAGTGACAATCGCAAATTATTTGTAAAGTGGTTCTATCAACATGACTCTTTTTTCTAACCTTAATAAGTATCACTTCATTAACTATTGGCATAGGTGGCAAAACTGTTAATGTTGCAGAATGTGATAACAACCATGCAATTTTTTTTTAACAATGGTATGGTTAAAAAAATAATAATTAGACATTATAAAACGATAACTAGTATGAGGTGTTATCAACATCCAAAATAACATAATACACCAATATAAAATAATAGCCTTTCAAGGTGGCCAAGACAACTAGTGATGAATCTAACACAAAACATGGAAAAAAGGAATGCCAGACCTTCATTTACGAAACGTTCATAAATTGGTCATTGTATTTCGGATATGTTCTTCACATTCACAACAACAGATGTAGCACCTTTCAACTTAAAATCGTAATAGAAAAAACACGTGAAACAAACACGGTTTGTTGAGTATATGTTTTTCTTCTAAATAAACTTCAAATCTCGAGTTTGTCATTTTTTAGAAATTTCTTAAATGACTTTCATATCAGATGATGAGCTTTATTTATGTAACACTTGGTTCAAGTGTTATTTAATTTTCAGCATTTTAGGGTTTGAAGTGGATCTCGACGAGTTGGGGAGCTCCAACTCGTCGTGTAGGAATCCATTTGGCCGCAAATTTTTAGGGTCCAACTCAACGAGTTGGGAGCCCAAACTCGACGAGTTGACACTGTGAATGAAAACCCTAATATTTTCGGGTGTTGCACCCTATTTAAAGAACTTAACTTCTAGGGCTGGCCTCCCTATCAGCCTCTTTGTCCAGAAGAAACCCTAGATCGTCTCTCCCCTTGTGTATTGAGTTTTAGAGTGATTGTTAGAGATTTTGAAGGGAGTTTTGAAGAAAGAAGTATCAAGCTTGGAGGATAAACTTGGATCCAGAAACTCAACATCAAAGACTGCATCTTGGAGGTATAAAGTCATAACCTTGACATGTAGCTTATTAGATCTCATATTTTGTAGTTTTAGAACTTTGGCTTGGATGTCCAAAGAAAAGGGGTCTCCAGAAGTTGAGGGTGTAGATTTGGCCTCCATAAGACCTCTAGATGATTAAAGTTGCAAACTTTAATAGCCTCCATGTCCTATTCATGCAATATGTTTGTAATAAAGCCAAAAATGAGCCTTAGAGGGTGTTTCTAGCATGCATGGGCGTATAGTTGGAAACTTTTATGTGATTAAACCACCTTAGGACCTTAGATATGTAATATGGAATGTTGAAGCAAGGGTTAGAGGCTTAATGGGTCAAGACCTTCCTCAAAGGAGCTAGGGTTTGGGTCTAAAGCTTATTAGATGATCCTTGGGGGTAAAGTTGGAAAATTTACCCTTGTGGACATCTCTATGAAGGGGGATATGAAGTTTGGAACCTTTAGATTCAAGAAAAATGGCTTAATGCGTTAAGTGAGTGGACAAACTGAAGAACTTGATGAGTTCACAAAAGAACTCGGTGAGTTGGATTGGAGTTACCTCGATTCAGTTGGAAAACGGAGGAACTCGACGAGTTATAGGAAAACTTGATGAGTTGGATTGCATCATTGTGATTCTAGCTTTAGGATGGACTCGACGAGTTACAGGGATAACTTGACAAGTTAGGTCAACTCGGAGCATTGACTTTGACCTTGACTATAACAACGTAATTTTTCAAAACAAATTTTCATTTTTCAACACAATAAAACTCATATAATATTCTCAATTCTCATGTTATCAAATGTCATCACAAATAAACATATCCCAAAATCTCAAAATATAATCTCCTGCCAGTGTGTACACATCATGCCGGCGCCTTCCCGCGATCCTTGCCAGTACCTGGAACACATAACACATAACACGGTAAGCATAAATGCTTAGTGAGCTCCCTAGAATACCACATACAATATATAATCAACTCGAGGCTATAACTCGGATGACCCTCCGGTCAATGTGTCTCAGCGGGACCCTCCAGTCCCATAGCTTGTTGGACCCTCCGGTCCGGTCTAAATCGCTGGACCGTCCGGTCCGGTCTATATAACACATAACATACATATAACACAATGCACATAAATCTCAAACATACACATACACATAAGATCCTCCGGCCTGCATATAGATACCACTCTAGGTAATGTATAGTGAGAAGACTCACCTCGGGTAACTTGGATAATCTTGAATCTCGAATACTGATCTAGCCTTCACCTAATCAAATAAACAATTTTCATCTAATTAACAACGGGTCTCAAAGGCTAGATTAATCCCCCTTATAATTCCGTAGAAGGGTAAAAGACCATTTTACCCCTCCAAGACCCAAAAAGCCCAATCGTTGACCAAACCCTAAAAGTCAACGAAAGTCAACTCAGTCCAGACTTGTCGAGCGCACTCGTGGACTCGGCGAGCTCATGCGCGTCTTTTGAATCCTTCTAAGACCCCACTCGAATCGTCGAGTTAACCTTTCACTCGATAGGTTACCACTAATTCTGAATCGCGGGGCAACCCGACTCGACTCGTCGAGTCCTTTCATGGACTCGACGAGTTTCCTCCATGGCAACTCCCAAATGACCTTCTAAGGTCATATCTATTTCTCTAACTTATAGATCTAACTTGTAAACACTCAAAAGTCACGTAAAAGGTCCAATCTTTATGCTCATGCAACACTCATATGGCTCTATTTGATGAATTAGCCCATAATATGACAACCAATATCCAAAACCCCAAAGGGACTGCATAAAGCTGGATGATTGGGACTCTCTCGACCTCCCAAGGTCCAGATCTAAGGTCTCATTCACATTGGGACTTCTCATGCTTCTTATTCCAACTCAAGAAAGGGTAAATGAACCCTTGATTAAATAAGCCTACACAATAAAGAAGAAAATGGCCGAATTGCTACCTCAAAGTGAAGTCTCCTTGCTTGAAAGTCTAAGAACAACAACCTCCTTTGGTCCTTCTTGTTGGATCACTTATCCTCCTTAGCAAAATCACAACAAATGGCTTAAGATGTCTCTCTCTCTCTCTCTCTCTCTTTTTCTCTCTCTCACTCACTCACTTCACATGCTCAAATATGTTAGGGTTCTTTTCTTTGAAAAGGGTGGCCGCAAATGAAGGCCATAAGGACACTTAAATAGGGCACAAGCCCATGGATTTAGGGTTTATGTCAAGAGCACGGACTCGTCGAGTTCATTCGCCGACTCGTCGAGTTCATTCATTAATCCGAGTCATCATTCGCGATCCTACTCGACGAGTTAGGGCATCAACTCGTCGAGTCACTCCTCATATCTCAAAATAAATAATCATATGATCATACCTGGGAATCCGGGTGTTACATTAACCAGGGTTGATTTTTAAGGGGTTTGAAGGGTTGATTTGTATCTAATGAATTGTTTATGATTAGGGAGGTAGTAGAGCTGATACTCGGAGTTTGGACCTACTCAACTACAATTCACATTTGAGGTGAGTCTCCTCACCATACAATAGGTCCGAGGCACCAAGATCGGCCCCTTACGTGTTATGTGGTATGTGATATGATAGTTGTCTTTCAGGTTCTTCCATGGAAGACCCCAGGAGGAGCCCGTAACATATGGATGTAAGACCATGTGGGGGAGCCCATGACATTCCAGATAAAGACCACGGGGGGAGTCCGTGACAAATGAATGTCATACCATGTGGGGGGAGTCCATGGCATTCCAAGAAAGATCATGGGGGGAGCCCATGACACATAGGTACAAGACCTGGGGGGGGGGGGGACGACATCCGGATATGTTCGTATGCATATCTTGTATGGTTGATATGGTTTATATGATCATGTGGATTATGTGAGGTATGATATGGGGAACTCACTAAGCATTGACTTACAGTTTGTTGGTTATTTCAGGCACTTCAGAATCTAAGGGCAAGACCCGACGTGATGGCGCGACATGCACTCTCTGACGTTTTATTGGGGACACTCTGATATTATGAATAAATTGTTTGATGTTATGGATTTTGAAAACAAATGTGACTGAAGTTTTATATTTTATGGAAATGATTTTGTTACTTAAAAATGAAAAAATTTATTGGAAATTTGAATTGTTACAATATATACGCGACAGACACATCTAGGCTTGTCAATTAGTTTTTTTATGTATAAAAAAAAAGTTATTTTTTAAAAAACTATATAAAAAAATGGTTAGTTTAATCGATAAGCCTTAGAAATTTAATATAACAAGTCTTAATAAAATCGAGAAACTTAAACTCAAATCTTCTAGAGTTCTAGTAGCCTGAAAAAGGCATGGCACCAACTTTGGAACAATGTTGAAGACAAAAAAAAAAAATGTACTAGTAGCCTCATGGTAAGATTAGGTGGTCCATCATCCACCAAATCGTTTATCCATGTGAAAAGTAAAAAGACACTACAGGACAAAAATACACTATAAAATAAAAATAAAAATAAAAATATATTAGACCCCCATCTTCACAAAAACCTCTCTCAATCCTGTGGCTTTCATTTCTTTAAGCCGTACTCGTCAGTTGGGTCTTCGTCTCTCTCTCTCTCTCTCTCTCTCTCTCTCTCTCGCGATTTCCATTACCAATTTCTTTGTTCTGATTCTTCTTCTCGATCATTCGCTCACTCAATCGCTGTAAGTTTTACAGTTACTTCTTCTTAAACTGTACGAGTTTCTAAACCCTAATTATCTGCATTATAATGTGATACATTTCGTCATGATTTATGTGTAATTCTGTGTAATGCGTACACGCGATGTTTTAATTCCGGATTTCTTTTTCAATTGGTATGTTTATGCCTTTAAAGTGCGAGACGGTGTTATCTACGTGAAATGCATTACGATTATGTGGTTTTTGTGTGTAATGAGAGGGTTTATTTCGTCGTAAGTCGTAATAATGGCAGTTAGGGTTTCGTAGTGAATGTATGTGTGCGAGGCTAGTCAGAAGGAGAATAACGTTGATTTCCTGTTGGTTCTTGGATGTTGATGTGTTTTTTCAGAGGAATCATGAACAGCGAAGAAGAGAAAAGGTGTCCTTTGTGTGCAGAAGAGATGGATTGGACTGATCAACAATTGAATCCCTGCAAATGTGGTTACAAGGTTTGGATTTTCACTCATGAAACAGTTTCTTTGCTTCTTCACTTCGTTTATTTGGTGTTGACTTGTTTGATTAGTTGTTTTAACCCTCGTGTACTACCAATGCAGGTGTGTGTCTGGTGTTGGCATCACATAATGGATATGGCAGAGAAAGATGCAACAGAAGGGCGCTGTCCTGCATGTAGAACACCTTATGATAAAGATAGAATTGTAGGGTTGGAATCAAATTTTCAGAGGTACAATACATTTGAATTCTGTTAACTTTCATTGCTACATTTGATATGATCATATGAAGACTTGTAATAACTGGTTTTTGCACATAGGGTGGCTACCAATAGTTCAAACCGAAAGCAAAAACTAACAAAGGCAAAACCAAAACCAAATGAAGTAAGGAAAGATCTTAGCAATGTTCGAGTAATTCAGCGAAAAATGGCGTATATCATTGGACTCCCTCTTGAACTTGCTGATGAAAATGTAAGCACCTTTCAATCTTTTCTTTCTAAATTGTATATATCATTGTTAATAAGCCACTTTTTCTGGTGTAGTTATTGCAACGAAAAGATTATTTTGGGCAATATGGAAAAGTCACAAAAGTTTCCCTTTCTCGGACAGCTGGCGGGACTCTCCAGCAGTTCACTAACGACACTTGCAGTGTGTAAGTCTATAAGTTTGCATATTGAGTTGCTCTTATGCTTGATTTTTGTCCCAGATTTCATGATTTTCTCCCTTTTATGCTCCCAGATATATTACTTACTCAAAAGAAGAGGAAGCAGTAACATGTATTCAATCTGTTCATGGTTATATCTGGGATGGTAGGCTTTTAAGGTAAGCAAATGACCTTCTTGCCCTCTATCGCTTTCTTTTACATTCTTGATGACCATTTCGAATGCAAACTCTCCAGGGCATCATTCGGGACTGCAAAGTATTGTCATGCATGGTTAAGAAACATGGTATGTAACATGCTCATTATTTCAATTCGATTTCATTCATGAATTTTTACAATTTTACAAATTTTTTTTTGATGTTTAGCCATGCAACAATCCTGGATGTTTATACCTGCATACTATTGGTGCTGAAGAGGATAGCTTTGGTAAAGATGAAGTAGCTGCAGTTCATACTAGGAATAGAGTACAAGAAATAGTTGGTGGGACCCATTATACACATACACGATCCGGTAGTATGTTACCACCACCTGTCATTGACCAATCATATAACCACACTGACTCGAAAGTAGTTTCACCTGAGCCAATCAAATCATCCAAAAACATGGCAACTTTTGTGGATATTGTTGGAAGGGGGTCGAGTAATACAAGTTCTAATAAAGATGTGAATTCAGGTGAAGAAGAAGAGGAAGAAGATGAGGAGGAGGAGGAGGAAGAAGAAGATAAATCAGATAGTTATGTGGATGAAGAAGATAATCATAATGTAGTGTCTATAGAGGCCCCATTGTATAAGAATGATGGATATAATGAGAATGAGATGAAATTTGAGAGTTTGGCCAAGTCAGATAGGATTTACAGAGAGTCTAATTCATTTTCAAATGAAGAGATTGTGGAGCATTTGAGAAGGATTGAGGTGAATAATGATGAAAATTCTGCTGATGTGGAGAGTAGTATAATATCAGATATATTGTCGATTGACTTGGATGGATGTGATAATTCAGTAGCCGGATTGTTTGAAGTAAGAGATGGAAGGCAACATAGTGATCAATCCAGATTCTCTTTTGCAAACCAACATATTGACATTGGTATGTATGTATGTATGTATGTATGTATATACAGTTTTGTGCTCTTCTTTATACTACTATATACTAAATAGGGCTATATCTTTTTCTTAAAATAATAGGATCTAGGGCACAGAAGTTGACACCACCGGGATTCTCCATGCCCAGTAAACCACCTCCTGGTTTCTCGTGCATAAGAACTGATCAGGCTCAGACTGTTGCTGCTAGCTCAGGTAATAAGTTAAACTGTCTCTTTCCTTGCATCTAGCTACTGTTTGGTATGCAGTAATCTAAAGGGGAATAGAATGATAAAAAATCCTTTTTGTTTGCCACAAAGGAATGGAATGTGATTCCTTCTCTTTGGCTGATTTTCTTTCATGTTGTTTTCTTAGTACCTGCTGGAATGGAATGGAATGATATAAATTATAATTATAACTTACTTTTCTTCATACAACCTATAATAGCATCATTGTTTTTATTAAAAGTAATCTTTCTATTATATTTATGTTTTACATTACATTATATCTACTTTTTTTCTGTAAACAATTTTTGAAAGTGATAATTTTTTTTGTACCATTCGATATTCATATAGACATTAGATGTAGTATATAGTTACAACAATTTGAAATATGTTTATATTCAATTTTTTTGATGATAGTTATATTTTTTCTTTATTTGTCAATATTATTCAAATTATACATCACAAATAATCAGTCATTCCATTCCTTGAAGACAACCAAGCAAAGATGACAATTGAATATAATGATATGTTCCATTACATTGTTCTTTTGATTCCATTGTACCAAGGCAAACTGACCTCTTATTTTTGAATCTTTACTAATTTATTTTTATTTTCAGGGAATTATTTCAGGGGTATGCCAAACAGTCATTATCGCACACCATCATTTGGGAATCTAAGCAACAGCAGTGGCAGCGATGATGTTATTGATATGATGATGGTTGGTGGAGGGAAACCGTTGACAAATTCCTCCTACTCATTTGATGATTGGCATTTCAATTTCATGACACAACAACAACAATCTGCACCTACCACCACCACCACCACCACCACCACAACCACCACCAATACCATACAGCCACAGCCACACCAGATAATTCCTCAGTTTCCTCCTTCACATGATGATTTTTATGGTGGTCTTACTTCTGGGCTAATGAACCTTGATCTACATCACCCATCTTTATACAACACCCAATCCCAACAACAACAATACTCGCTTTCACAGCTGAAATTTGGAAATGCTTATCAGTTTCAAGATGCTCAACTTCAACAACAACATGATCCTAGAAACGAGGTAGAAAGGTTGGGGTTTGAGAGCAGATTTTTGCCAAATTATGGTGAGTATATGTTCCAAATGCCTAATTCGGGAGATATATACAACACCCACACCCAGACCCAGACCCACACCCGGGTATTTGGAATGTAAAGAGTTCTTCCTTCACCTTCTTAGACAAAACTTCTTTTAGTTTTATCAAATGAAATGAGCACAGACAGACAGGTTTAACTCTCAGTTCAGTGTTTTACAAGAGTTGTCAATAGCTTTAGCTTGCTTGTGGATAGATTTCATGAATATTACTACAACTAACTTTGTTCTTCATCATGATTGCGAAATCTTATTTTAGGTTAAAATCTCACATGAAAAATTAGTTTAATATTGTTGGCAAAGTATATGTTTCTGAATGCCCAGAGAAAATGGGATGTTGGCCCTACTTATTTTGAACATCATTGAAATATGGTGTATTTACGTACATGTTCATAAACACATAAACCTACTAACACAATATGCATCATTACAAACAAGCTCAAGTATGCTTTTTTTTGTTTACACACAAGCAGAAGCAGAAGCAGAAATGGATTCTGTGACATTAGATGTTTTGCCACATGAATAGCGGTCAGTCAAGCAGTCAACATGACTTGCTTTTATTAACCAATCTGGTTACTGAAAGTATATCGAAGAAGAAGTGGCCTTGGCCATGTTAATTGGCTGCTGGTGTTGGATACTACCCCCATTTGAGAAAACAGTAGTAGTAGTTGAAGAGAATCCTGATGATGCTGCAATAGAAGAAACCGGAATTGGAAATGTCACACCCATGCCATAATTGCCTCCCAACATTTGCATTTGCACCTGCATTTGCCATGCTGAGAGCCCTTGAATATTATTCGCAGATGTAGATGTCATTCCTATCGCTTTTTCCTGAGTAGAAAATTTTAGTTTAGTCGGTTGGTGACATGTTTGGGATTTCAGAGAACAACCCGTAAAATAATTACCTCATTGTTTGGTGTAAAACCATAATACATGTTACTAGGCCATAATGGAGCTTGAGCTTGAGCTTGTGTCTGTGCCTGTAAATTTGGCCCCGGACTATCTTTAGTGGGAGAAATCCCAAGGTTGAGATCAAGATTGTGACCGCTAGCTGCAATACAATGGAATTTTAATTTTCAAAGTTATCGTTTTATGTTTTTATAAGGAATGGAATAATGAATAAGTTACATATAATAGGCAATACCTTCTTCATCCATGGCTTCCAAGCTATTATCGGCTCCATAGATGCTTGGCTCAAAGTTGGTGACAGCTTCCTTGCCGTTGCATTTAATGGCAGCTTTGTCATAAGCCCTGAATTCAGATGACATAAATTGCAAATGTTGTTGAATGATGACTTCGTTCATATGGGATGGGTTAACATGTTAATTGTCAATTATAAAATTACAACAACCTTGCAGCTTCTACTTCATTGTCGAATAATCCAAGGTAAACATACCTGCAAACCAAGGATTGTAATCTTGTAGATAAACAAAAAGGTGTCCTAATTGCTTTCATTTACTCACTATGACGTTGTATTTTAACAACATAATCCAAAAAGTATACTACACCTACCTACGTCAAGTCATCAAGTATGTATGTATTTCTCTTTTTATATCTCTAATGGTGTGACTTACTTTTTTCCAAGAAGCTGACCCATGCGAGCCTCCCATCTCCCACATTTATGGAGGGTTACTCCTCGGTATTTTGAACTTCCTCGAGAGAATCCTGTGCTCTGTCTACGGAGTATATGAATAAATTCTTCTTTTGACAAATTCTTTACCTGTTGTGTTGCATTCATTTGGAGACGTTAACCTTAAGAAACTTAAAAGTTGGGTCTAATCTAATGAGACAAAAAGTATCTAAACATATTCTCACCACCTGTGTCATATCTTCATCATATTCGTTTATATGAAAGTTGATATCCGCATCAATTCCCCTGAACTTGATGGCAGCTCGATCATAGGCTCTGAATTATAATATCATTGATTCATTTAAGTTAAAGTCACATTCAATTAAATTAAACTACAATAATATTTGTAAAAGGGAGCTCTGTCTCTAACCTAGCAGCAGCCAGGGCAGTGTCAAATCCGCCTAAATAAACTTGTTTCCCACAATCCCTGACCACAGAAAATAGAAAATAAAACCAGTTATTGTTGCAAGAGGGGACAATAACAATGACGAAATTCAAAACATTGACAACTTAGATTTATAGCAAACCCCAGAGAACTTATTGATCCGAATTCTATTTCCATATGGAAATAATCGGGAACAGAGTGTATATTCCATACGGAAACAATAGCATGTGCTTCAGCTTCAAGCAATTGTACGGTGCAAATAAAAGATGCATATGTAGTAATTAAATATCAAGTTCATGTGAATGTGTGATGAACCATATCAGAACGAGAGTGCAATGCATCATACATACCAGATATGTGATTCCCATCGACCAGTCCGACGATAAAACGTCACACCACGATACTGTGAACTTCGAGACCTTGGTCCTCGCCGGCTTTTCTTTGCCTGCTGCGGCGGTGGCGGGTGAACTTGCAGGTTTTGTGGCGCCACCACAGGTTCCGGAACCTTAAGATTCAACCAGTGCGATCCAAACAAAGACGTCGAGAACGGCGGCGATGTTATTGACTGAGAACCTAACTCCTCGTCCTCCAACTCCAGATCACTGTCAACCGGAAAAAACTGCCTCGTAATCAAACCACCAGATATTCCATTAGAAACCTCTTTCACTTTCCCAATTCGATCGACGATACCGATATGATAACGGAGCTTCTCGATATTGCTAGCAGTATACGATACCGAGCCTTCGTCATCAGCATTGGTGACGGGAGGATCGTCGTCGGCGTTCAAAACGTCGGATGAAACTGAAGTACCGGAATATTGAATCTCCGACTGACGATCTTCCGAAACATTCTTCGCAGTCTCAAATTCAATCCGATCGTGAATAAAGCCAGAATCATCAACAGACACTACTACATCAACATTAAGATCCAACATCTTCAGTATATCTATCAATATACTTATAGATTGCAAATCCGAACTATATTTATAGCTCGATCATACAATCAAACCTATCACTTAATTTTCAGCATTTCTAATTCATGAGAGCTAGTTTCGATCAAATCAAAAGCCACACACACAGTAAAAATGGAACTGTGTGTGAGAGAGAGACAGTTGAGATCTGAGACACACCAGATATTTCGGAGGTAGAGGAAATCCAACAAACTTTTTATACACACAGCGACCACATTTCAGTGTGTGTAACGAGAAGAGAGGAGAAAATGAGAAGTCAATGAGAGGCTGTTGGTTTTAGGAGGAAACCAATGATGGTGATATTAGAAAGATAGATAACACGTCGTCGTTTTAATTTCTATATATAAATAATTTGTTTTTTTTTTTTTATAAAAAAACTCAATGTTTTTGGTCTGTTAACAAAACAGTTCAAACTTATTTTATTTTACAAAAAGTCATTGAAATCCGGCTAAATATTTCATTATGGCCTATTTTTCTCAAGGTTACCCTCACAATAATAAATAACCTTACTATCCCCATAGTTCATTTCGTCTGACTACTGCCGATCATTGGTTTTTTACATGTGATCTGAATCTAATGCGAGTTTTGGTCAACACCACCACCACAATCGGTTGAACTTTATGCCAATTTGCACAACCGGCGGACCTTGCACACCGGACCACCGATTTCGTAAACCATCGCCGCCGATTTGGGAAGACAGAAGACGGAGGATGGAGGTCCCGACGGGGCTTCCAGCTAAAAGGGCGACGCTTGTGATGTCTTTTTCCCTACGGGGCTTCCGGCTAAAAGGCCGATGCTGATTTGGTGGTGCTCCAGCGAAAAGAAGCGACTCCTACAATCACTTTAACAGGTTACATGTTGAAATGTAAAAATGATTGAACTGAAAATGTCAGTCGGTTTTTAAGATTTTTTCTTGAAAAAATAATGATTTGGGACTAAAAGATAAATTTAACCAAAATTTTAGAAATTTATAAATAAAGTTCAATTTGTAATTTTTTTGTATCTGTACTTGTTTACTTGTTCCGAATTTATAGCAAGTTCAATCCAAATAATAATAATAATAATAAAAAAATAAATAAAAAATAAAATCACAATATATATATATATATATATATATATATATATATATATATGTTCAAATGAGAACCAAAAAAGATTAAGAACCCTAAGAACCATTATTTTTAGCTTATAATTAAAATATATTTATAATAAACATAAAAACAAAAGTGCCATGATAGTAAATATTATGAAATCAAAACCCATTTTCATAAACACATACAATCTGATTAATCAGATCTAGATTTGATATTTCTCTCTTTCCTCTCAACAAACTCATTTATCCTCTCAACAAGCGCTCATGATCAAGAACAAGATGCCGGTGATTGGCACCATCGTTGAGCGACACCACCATCGACAACAATCTCGCTATCGTTCCTCTGGTGACTTCTGTCTCCTCCATATTCACTCTCCCCTATCGCTACCCTATCACCGACGAAAACTCATATCTGATGAAATTCGACGAAAACATTGTTTATCCACCACGTTCGTCACTGTCATCACAACCAAACTTTTACGAACACCGCCAATGTTCGCCTGTTGCTGCGTCCAGATCCGTCATCACTCTCAAACCTCACCAGATCGTTGACCACCAGACCGATGCTCTACCACCATGTTAGGCCGTTGTTTCCTCCATCACAACTATGTATCATTCTTGTCTCCAGTAAGCTAAAAACTTCAGTGAAAATATGATGCAATGTATTTGTGTATAATTTTTTTTTTTGTGTATCCATGTGTGTTATGGTAGGAATGTTGACAGGAAGTGCATATGTTGGTGTTTCAGGCACATTCTGATGATAGAGTAATAAAGTTGCATCTAATGGTGTTTCTGATGGAGCATATAACTCTTTTCTTCTCTAGATGTCTGACCACCTCTAGATTTGATTATTTATTCAGCCATTCTCATCTTGATCTTTGATTTTATAATCTTCACCGCCAATATCATACCATTGCTACCACTTCCTAAGTCACTCTACCACCACCACCACCGAAGTCACATCACTATTGTTGTTTCCTTACCACCAGTGCTCATAGATCTGAAGCTAGAAAAAATAATAAATGTGGAAACAAGATGCATTAAAGGTGTTTGATGAAATGTCTCAATGAAAATAAAGTATGTTTTTAAGTTGTGAATAATGTGAATGAGTGTCTGAACTAATTTATTAAGCTGTGAATGGATGTATGGACTAGTCCGTTAAGTTATGAAGAAGTGTTTTTTTTATAATTATGGTGATTATATATCTGATGTATGTGGTGCACACAAAGTGTTTGATGAAATGCATCAAAGAAATTCGGTAAGTCATTAAGTTGTGAATATATGTTTTTATGTATTAATTAGTGAATATGTACCATATTAAGATGTGAATGTGTATTTTTTTGATGCGCTAAGTTGTGCAATAGTGTTTGAAGTATTAGACTAAGTTGTGAATTAACGTCTTAAACGTGGTATTAAACTGTGAATTCTGATTTTTTTTTTCCAGATGTGATTTTTAAGGGAAAGATGTTGGTTGTATTGACATTGGTGGTTGGTGGTAGTCATGGTTGATAGTGGTAGTCATGGTTGATAGTTGTTCAATTTCTCACTCATCTTCTTCTTTGATTTCAGATAAGTTATATCATCTTTTATGATACATGTATATGTTTTCTTTTGATGTTTGCTTCTAAAACATGAGATAATTTATGTATGTATTAAACTGTGAATGAGCAATTTAATATATCCTGAAATATATAATTATGCTTATAAATGAGTTGTGAATATATTGTATTAAATTGTAAATTTTGTGTAATAAGCTGTGAATTTTATTCATAACTTAATATAATAAATTCACAATTTAATACATAGAAATTCCACGAGATATGAATGTATAAATGTAAGTTTAAAGTTGAAAATATGGCTATGAATATATAATCGTTGTGTATTCAACTATAAATTTATTTTACATGTATTAAACTGTGAATTGAATATGTTAAGTTGTGAGTTGAGTATATTAAGCTACATATTTTTTTTCTGGATTTTGTGTGTTAATCTGAAATATGAGAAGAATAAGCATTGTACATATGATTTTCTCTAATTTAAATAAATTAAATAAAATTTAAACGATGAGTTTAGTGTACATTAAACTTTGCAAAAAGCACCAACCTCCATATCCGAATGTATAAATGTTAGTTTTAAGTTAAGAATATGACATTTTTTTGTGTTAAATTGTTAATTTAGTATATTAAGCTATGAATTTTATATATAAAATGGTAATTGACTGTATATAATTGTGAAATGAATGTCTTTTGTTGTAATTTTTTATAAATTTTGTGGTAAAACATGAATGATTTATGTATGAGTTTTTGTATTAATGTTCTTGTTTATATTTTTATTTTTTATATTATATAAGTACGTAAGAATGCATTAGTTTTTATAACTGTTTTGTGTTAAATTCAAAATGAGTGAAATCATAAGTTTATTAAACTATGAATGTAGTATTTAACTTGTCATTAAATGACTTGATATACATATTTTATTTGGAAGGAGAATGGTTGCAACGTTGGCACTGATGGTTAGTGGTGACATGTGGCGGAGATAATAAACTTCGGGTTTAACATCTTTAAATTTATGAATTAGTGTAACATAAACTGTATTATATTGTGAATTTTATGTATTAAACTGTAAATGGACTCTATAAAGTTGTATTTTATATAAATTTTGTGTTAGAATATAATTCAATGTATAAATGAAAATATTACGCAAAAAAAAAAAAATTACGATTTTGCTATTTTCTTACAAAAAAAAAAAAAATCAAGATTTGAACATATTTACTAGTATTACTTATTATTACTTATAAAATAAAGATTTGAACATATTACTTATTATTAATTATAAAATAAGGATTCTTAGGTTTCTTAATATTTTGTCGTTCTCATTTGAACGATTTCTTTTATATATATATATATATATATATATATATATATATATATATATATATATATATATATATATATATATATATATTTGAACTTTTTAATAAAATAAAATTTTAGTAATTTATAAATTAAGTGAAATGTTATATAAAAATATAAAAGACACTTTTTGAAAATTACAAAAATGTCAACCGTGAAAAATATGTAATTTGGTTTCAGCCGACATTTCTTTTAGCTACCGTTTTTTTGTTTTTAAAACTGTGGATTGTTGGCATCGTTTTAAATGGGTCAATTTTAGCATTTTAAGTCAATTTCATGATTCTTTTGCTTCAAATTGATTTAATAATCAATGTATGATTTTCATGAAACATACAAACTTTTTGTCATGTATGTCATGTATGACAATTTAATTTTTTTTGTTTAGGTGATATTTCTTAAAAATCATATTGATTATTTGTAAGACATTAAGTTGTTATAATTTAACATAAAAATGCTTGAATGTTTAACTGGTTTTGTTAAATCTTAAATGTAGTGAAATTGCTAGTACATTATTGTTAAATCATGTTCTTATTAACGATGTGTACACTATTTGCTAATTGTATTTGAGCAATTTTGAAAGGCATATATTATTAAAACAAACAAAAAGCTAGCAAAAAAAACCAATCACAAATTCATAGCACATTGAAGAAACATTCCAATCCCTAGTCACTTTAACATAACCGTATCAACAAAAGTAACAAAAGTATCTTTTTTGATACTTTTTAGTGCAAAAGACCATCACATTTCTATAATCCTATCATAAGATCCATAATGTAGTCATAACTATAGATATAATCTTCTTTTTCTGTCTCTCTTGTATGGAGAAAACATCCAATCAATCATACACCTTATGTTTTTTTTTTTTTTTTTTTGAAACCGGCAAATATATTAAAATAAGGACCCTAGCAAGGAGCTAGGGACCGAAAGTACAGACACATATAAAACATATAACAAAAAGAGGGACACAAATTATGAACAACTTAATGGTGACATACACCACTTAACCCAATCATCACATTCCCCTCGTTTCTTGCTATATTTCCTCCAAGTGAATACAGTAGCCCTAATAGTGTCCACAATCTTCGCCGGTTTCAAAATCACACCTCTGAATAGTCGATCATTTCTATCCTTCCAAAGGCTCCACAATGTTCCATATAATATACAAGCCAACAATTCTTTCTTTTTAGGACAATGGCCCCAATTATGGGCGAAGGCAAGCACTTCATTTACTCCTGTAAACTCATTGACGGGAATGTCACACCAATTTAACACCATATTTATCGTATCTCTTGCCAAGGTACATGAGGTGAGGATGTGGTCTACCGACTCTTCTTTGTTCCTGCACAACCCACACAATATGGAGGAGACGGGAGTGTTTCTCTTTTGTAATGCCTCTGCCGAAGGTATCCGTCCCTGCTTCGCCCGCCATATAAAGCTCACCACTTTTTTAGGGGCTGAATTTAGCCACCAGAAGTCCCCATCACTGATTGGATGTGATGCTCTATCCAATCGACTCCGGAGTTTCGCCACGCTAAAATTCCCATCAACCACAAATTCGGATCTCCATGTCGTTCCCCCATCATTAGAGTATAAAATATCCTTCACCCCCATGTTTAGTTTCCAAAGACCATTTTTTACCCTATCAATACTTGACCATACCCCGCTTGCCTTTCTCTTTGAAAAACAATACCATGGTCGGTTAGTATGATTATGAATACCCTTAATAATTCGGACCCAAAGAGCTTGAGGGCTTGTTTTGAACTTCCACCACTATTTTGCTAGTAGAGCCAAGTTTAAGTTCCTTAAAGAACCCAGACCCGCCCCTCCTACTTCTTTTGGAGCCTTCAACTTGTCCCATGAAACCCAATGTACTGCCGCCTTCTCCGATCCACCCCTCCAAAGAAATTGCCTTTGAATAATTTCTAATTCTTCTATTATTCCTAATGGGGCAGCGAACAATGATAGATAAAAGGTTGGGAGGTTCCCAAGGATTGATTTCGCCAAAGTCATTCTTCCACTATTAAGGAAGACATCATGCGATTCGTTAAATTCTTTGAGCAGGTGGGGTGTTTTTCCAAAGGATGCAACTCGTTGTTTATATCTCTTGCGGCTAAGATTAAAGACCCGCAATCCTTAAACGACTATAGACCAATAAGTCTCATTGGTGCTCTTTACAAGATAATTGCTAAAGCCTTGGCTGTTAGGGTAAAAACGTGTATTGGAACTTGCATGGATGATGTGCAATCGGCGTTTGTAGAAGGAAGAAGCATCCTTGAGGGTCCTTTGATTGTAAATGAGTTGTGTTCATGGGCAATAAATAGTGATCGAAAG